CTGCGTCGAGAGCAGTCCAGAAGGAGTCCTTGGCGTTAACATCACCGCCCGCGGTGGTGCGGACAGTTTCCGTGGGGGCGTACCCCACCACGAAAGTTACTCCGCAGGTGCGGCCAATTTGTAGACGCACCTTCATCAGTGTGCTCTCTCCGGAATCCTCCCCTGAGATCTTGCCCGACAACGGCGGAGGCACGTAATCATTATTCAATTTTGTAACGGCGAAAAAGGTTCCGTATAGAATAGTTCGGCGTTTTTTTGGCGCGCGGCGAATCCGTAGCAGCAGAGAGCAGAGGGTAGAGAGAGAGCAGCGAGAAAGAGAGGAAGTTGTTTGGGCACACGCGGCTGTCAACACGCACGCAGCGCAGAGAGGACGCTGGGCAACACATAGGAAGATCGGAGAGAGTGCGGCGTTACACTTTGGTGGGTTGATGCGCATTGATGCTGTTCTGCGCTCGAAAAGGAAGATTGGTTGGGCTCAGGAGAAGTGGACTGCGCCAAACACACCATTGCATGTGTGCTCTCTGCAGGACCTCTGAGGCGCTCGCTTCCACAACCCAAGGCTATTGCACAACTAAACGCCATCAGGTTCCTTGCTGCTTTTCGAATATTGCGTGTGTCAACGAACCCATCTGGTTGCCCCGCGTTTGATCCCTATCCACCAGCAACCAAGAAGTGCAGCTCGTATGTACATACTTCGAAAAATGTGTGCGTTCCGGATGCATCATGCCGCCCCTCCTGCTCTCTAACGGGTTCGGTGCGGTGATGTATGTAGGCAGCACAGCAGTCAGCGGCAGCAAGTGATTTAGCGGAGCCTTTCTACGGCCTGCAGGTCGGACCTGGAGCCAACCTCTCCCCATTTCATCTGCGTCAGCGTTCGTACCTCTACCACAGCGGTGAATACGTCGGTTCGCTATGGATGCCGATCGATCTGCGTGCGCATGATTTTCATGTTGCAGTCCTTTTCGGCGTCAACACACGCACACATGTTTTTTGTCGGTGTTACTTATCGCAGCACGACCTATGGTGACACCTGTGACACTCTGTCCTCTGTCTCAAAGCGCAAATGGCCCCTATGCAATTGAAGTGTTCCTTGTACTCAGCGAAATGACATGTTCTCGTTGGCCAGCCTGGTGCTATGTAGTTGAAGTCCTTAGAGCGAGTCGACGAGCAAGTCGATGTATTTGGCGCCGCATGATGCGGACCCCGCCGGCTGCGACGATGCAGGCTGGGCCAAAGAGAGGGGGAGCAAGGACTGCATTGGCGTGTAGATGTTATCCTTTTGTTAGTGTCAACCGCGCCAAACGGCTCGCCAATGAAAGTATGTTGCTCTTGTTGCATATAAAGTAGCGACAAAGGAACAAGCGATACGGCAAGTACGGCCGTTATTTTGTTATTTTCCCCACCGGTTTGTTATTTTCCCCACCGGTGGGGAAAATATACGCATCGCGGTACCAAACATTAAAACAATGACATACGGTTAATCGTAGGCATACTGCCGCGGCCTCGTCTGTCCAATTGGACCAAAGGGCGCCCTTTGTCCACAGGCGCCACAATGCGGCGAATATAACCCGCTGGTTTGGGTCGTGAGGGACGCTTGTGAGATGGGGTATTGAGCCAATTTGGTTTCGGCAGCAGTGTTGTTCTGGCTCAGCCAAGGCCTTGAACCGCGATTCATGAAAGGGAATAGAACAACAAACTTATGCCATGTATACATATGTCCCGTTCCCCCTCCGGAGTGCCTTGCCATACATGCTACAATTACCACGTTTTTTTTGCCCTTGGATGCTCCCCGGTGGCTGACTTAGCCGCAACGGCCGCATGTCGACATGGAAAAAATTGCCCTTGCAACCATCCTGACCTTGCCTCCAAGCAGTGACAGGCTAATAGCATACCATTTTCCTGCTGTGAACCTTTCGCCGCGGGTTTTTTTCCCGCTGGGAAGCAGCATGCAGCCAGAGCTCAGCGGACGGACCCGACCGTGTCGTAAGATGATGAAGGCTTCAGCCATGGCCCTCCTCGGGGCGGCGGTGCTCGCGGGCCAGCAGGCGTCGGCGTTTGTCGTGGGCGTGCCGACGTCGTTCACGAGACTGTCGTCGGGAACCCCTTCCTCTTCGGTGGTGGCGCCGAGGTGAGGGTCGCATGTCCTCCTTGCGGGGACGGGGGGGAGCATACTCGTGTACGCGCATGCCTTAAGTCGTTAGACCATCATTGACCTCGCATACAACGCCGGGACGGAGCGATTTCGCCGGCCCAGGCTTGCGTTTCACAAGGAGGAGCCAGAAGCTGGTCAATCATGCGGAGAGGGTTCGGGGGGGGGGGGGG